AGGATTACTCCTTTAAAATTGTCTACCCAAAATTTTTCATCAAGCTTCGCCACTGAAAATCGCGCCACGTTTATTTATTTAACACTAAAATACAAAAAATGCATACGAAAGCTGCACTCTTTACCTTTAAAACGCATCTTAATTTGTGTCAATAAGACACTCGGATCAAAAGATATTGAATTTTTACCATCGAGCTGATACATATTTTATTGAACATTGATTTCACGCTCGTAACTAACATTTAAAATTGCCGATCGCTTCAATCGTTGTTTCTGAGAGAACGGTTCATTCTATACAAAAAATGCTAATAAACGTTTTTGTTCAAAATTATCTTGCTATATTTTTTATTTAAAACATTTCTTTTATACAGATACATAGTGGTTTTTCCGTTTTCCTCCATCTACCTGGTTGGTTTTAAGGGAAAGATCGTGAGTAAAAGTGATAAACTTTTTTGCATCTTTTTTTATCGTTCTAAAATTGCAAAATGCAAAAACATTTTCTGCAAAATTCAAGTTTTTCGTATGATTTTTAGAGGTTCTGTGACATTTTCGTCTCTGACGACTGGATTATTTGTATAATAATGGTTTTTATTTTAAAAACAAATCTTAAAACTCTATACTTTTAATTAATTAACCAATTACCGGAATTAATAAACCAATCATCTTATTTTCCTTTCCTTTGAAGCGTCTTTTGACACACTTTTAACATCCGTTTTAAAAATTATAATCGGTCAACAATTGAAGTTACTGAAATTTTTTATAAGCGTAAACTTTTAACAATTTTTGAAATAAATTCTCTAGGCTATTATAATCACCGCATTTTAATTTTTTAAAATGAGTTAAAAATCTTGAATGCTCTTATATATGTAAGAAATTTCAGGTATGTAGAAGGTTTAATTTTTAACCTGCTTAATTTTAAAAATTATTTATTTAAAAAAAATTAGATTGCAAAATTATTTCGCAAAAACTATTAAATCAATTTTAATGACATTTTTTGTGATGATTAAACATATTAAACAGTTTTCTTTCTCGGAATATGAGAGTTTTAAGTTTGATTTTAGTATGGAAAATAAACTCACAAAAAACCTTTTTTTAACTGATTTTTCTGTGCTTTTTAGTATTTTGTCAATAATACTAATAATAATAATAATAATAATTCTTAATTCGTTTACTCAGAACTAAGGAGATACAAAATTAGTAACAAACGAAAATCCGACAATTGGCTTTTTGAAAATGCCGAGAAGACGTTCTATCGGAAACTCAATTCTACTGCAGAAAGTGTCAATAAATCTTACCCAAGTGGAGAAGAAATCCATGAGCTCTGGGGAAATCAACTTTCCACACCAGCTGCTCTTAACACCAAGGCTGGATGGATCGAAGATACGGCGCACAACTGCCAACACTACGTTACTACTCCCTACGAACCCTTCACTAATGAAGAAGATTTAAATATTATCAAAGAGTTTTATAACTGGCAATCTCCTGGACCACATGGCATTTAGAACTTCTGGCTTAAGAAGTTCTGCAGTATTCATGAGTGCTTATCAGCAATAATTAATCACACTATTTCTAATCCGCAGGAAATACCATCTTTCCTAACCCAGGGAACAACTTATTTAATTCCCAAAGATCAAAATAACACCCAAGATCCAACCAAGTACCGCCCAATTACTTGTCTTCCAACTCTGTATAAATTGGTCACATCCTGTGTAGCCCGGCGTATCAACCAACACTGTGCTCTAAACAATATCATAGAACCTTAACAGAAAGGATGCGCTAAGCGTTTGATTAAGTGCCGCTCGAATAGCTTATAGATATATTAAAAATATGTAAAGTCGATGATAACATAGTGACCATTTTAAAACATATAATGTCAGATTGAAAGAAAAAAATTCACCTCCAAATACCTGGTAAAACAATATCGAAACTGAAAATATTGCAATCAACCGGGGCATATTTCAGGGGGATTCGTTGAGCTCGCTGTGGTTTTGTCTAGCGATGAACCTCCTATCCCAGATATTGAACTCAACTGACACAGGTTTTAGCATCAAAAATAACACTACTTTTGCTGCAAAGCTTAATCATCTATTGTATATGGATGATTTAAAACTACTAGCTTCCACTCGAAACCACCTGGATCAGTTGATAAAAACAGTAAAAACTTTCTCTAATGATGTCTCTCTAGTATGCATTTCGGCCTTGACAAGTACCGTGTCTTAAATATAATCAAAGGAAAGGTTCAGCCCGGCGAATTCGATATGCAAAACGGTTATAACATCAAGGCTATGGGTGAAAATGATATTTATAAATATCTCGGAATAAAGCAAGCGCGAAAGATTGACCATAAGCAAATGAAAACTGAGATAACTACTGAGTTTATACGAAGGGAAAAACAGCTGCTTCGTTCACACCTTAACAGTAAAAATTTGTTTAAGGTACTAAACACCTACGCATGTTCCGCGCTTAGAAACTCATTTGGTATTGTTAAGTGCATAGAAACGGATATAGAAAATCTTCAGTGAAAAGTACGAACATACCTCACAAAGGCACAAAAACACCATCCTCGAATTGCAGTAGAAAGAACAACATATCCGCGGTATTTAGGAGGACGAGGAGGATTATAAAAACAGATTACTAATTGAAGAATTTATTTTCAGCTGCAGGCTGAGACATCTATTCATCGCGCGATTTGTACAGTAGATGACAACACCGATCAAACTGAAGGAACCAGAAATATATAATATAAATATATCGTCAAAGATCCTCAGGTCCAAAACGACAAATGCCGATAAGGATGTCAAGCTCAGGAAATCATCCAACATCTTACCGGGGGCTGTCAGGCATTTGCTGCAACAGAATATAAGAAACGTCACGACGCAGTAGAAAAGATCCTTCATCAAGAGATAGTAAACTGGGACTTCTTCAAAAAAACTATCTTCCATATTATCAATACGTTCCCGAGAGTATACTTGAGAATGACAACTACAAGCTACACTAGGACCGCACTGTGCTCACAGACCAAAGAGTGGCACATAATAGACCAGATCTCATATTAGTTAATAAACTAAAGAGACAAACAACATTAATTGATGTGGCGATACCCAACAACAATAATCTTCGTGTTAAACAGAACGAAAAAATCAGCAAGTACAGGGATCTGGAAATTCAAATACGAAGACAGTGGAGAATGGAAAGTACCCAGATCAGAAAAAGACTATGCAGAAAACTGTACTGCTCTCAACGTCCAGATGTGTACGAAAATTTTTGGGAGATACTCCAGCATACCAAGTCACCTAGGGCACGATAACACGGAAAGAGTTCCACCAGAGCTCAATCCTTTTGATACCGTAGGTATCTGGGATGAGTGAATTTTCCCCTTAGAGGGAGTGTGAGCAGTATGGCTAAATCTGGATAACAATAATTCTTAAGATTTAAAACTTGTATTGTTTTATGTAAAATTTAATTAAAAAACTTTTATGTTCGATATAAATTTATTCTAAAGCCAATAGTTTTTAGGATATATGTAAAAAAAAGAAAAAAATACCGATTTTTTTTTTTTATTTTTATTTTTTTCATATTTTGTTTAATAAAAAGTTAAACCCACATTTTAAAACTCACGCATAGTTAGATTATCATTTTCGGTAATACCTTAGAGTGATTTATGCAAAAACTACGTTTATATGCTTCACATTTAGGTTATGACAAAGACTAATATAATTTTTGAGCAAACGATTTTTACCAATATTTAGATATGTCTAATTGTTTATTATGCAAAATGTTTAGAGGCATACAAAAATATATGTACTACTATATCTTGCATTAGAATATTAAATTGATACTCTATAAATACAGTATATAAAAGAATAAGTCAAAAAATTAAAATATTTCAAACTATTGTTTAATAATGGCATGTTATTAAGAAATAATGAAGAATAGACTTTGTTTAAATGTATACATAAACCAATATACTTTTACTATTATTTATAACACCGATTTAATTGTAATGTGTGCACAATAATTTAAGCATACTTATGGGTATGTAGAATAATAAATATAGTATATAAGCAAAGTTTAAAGGTCGCTCGAGTTCAAAATCTCGTATCTAAATTTTTTAGTAAATTTAAAAACCTCGTATTACCGAAACACTCGGAACCTAACATCGTATTTGACTCAGTATCATACGTTCTTAACTTGGAGACACATGTTCAGCTTGTTGTGTGATAAAATACTATAAAACTTTCAACACTTTATTTAAATCATTTATTACTTTTTAATTGAGAATATGAACGTGTGCTGCTGCTGATCAAATATTGGTTGAGGAGACATACACTGTGTTACTATCAAAATATTTTTAACGCAGAAGAATATGTAATTTTAGAAGGAACTGAAACTGACTGGGAAAGTAGTTTTGAAAGAACACTAAATAATCATTAGGATGATGAGACTGGTATGTCGAAAAAAAAAGATCAATAAATAATGATTCGGAGTCTGATCTAGACAATAATCCTGACTCAGAAAAAACAATACCGAGAGACAAAAACCGAGACCGAGGGACCACCATACGGACGAGTGTTGCAAAACGTAGAGGGTTCTTATGAATAAAAACAACGAAAAACCTAGAATCCATGGCGGAACAAGGACTACCTCCAAATAATAGGATATAAAACGATATAAAAAAATTAATATTTAAGGATGTATGGCAACACTTTTAATGGACTTACAAAATATTAGGATGGTAGATATGAATTTATTAATCAAAAGGTTCTTTTTAGTATTGGTCCTTTTGTACATCCGAGAAATGTAATATTTCCAAGATATACGAATGTCAACTGATTAATAGAGACTTCTTCTTCGTTCGTCCGATATTTCTTCTGGCGATTGGTGGCTTATCTCTTGCTATTTTGACGACACGGGTCTCCTCAATTCTGCTTATGTGGTTAATCCATTCTTTTTTTATTTTGTGTCCATTCATGTATACACTGTACGTTACATTTTCTTTTAATGTTTTCACTTCTCTTTCGATCTTTTAGCGTATTTCCTGTAATTATTCTCAGTACTCTCAGCTCTGCCGTTTCCAGTAGCCTTTGGGTTGTGGCTGTGTTGGGTCTTGTTTCTGAGGCATATATCTTTATTGTTTCGCCATATAGTGGCATTAAGGCATCCTGCCAGTCCATTTGCTTTTTGTACTTTATCTCTCACTTCTTTGTCCAGGTCTCCATAGCTAGATCCCAGGTATTTATTTCCATTGTTTATTCAATACTGATGCCATCAATTTCTATTTTAGATCTGGTTGGTTCTTTGCTGATTACTGTTGTTTTAGTTTTCTGAGATTGTCATATTAAATTCTTTTGCTCTGTAAAATCTGTGGACCAGCCTTTGCAGACTATCTTCATCTTGGGCTATCAATATTACGTCGTCTGCAACAGAGTATTTTTATGTTCCATTCTGTATCCTCTTCCTTTGTTAAAGCTTTTGAATATTTCATCCATGATTAAATTAAAGAGCATGGGGCTCAATGCATCCCCTTGTCTTATTCCGCTGCCTATTTCTATAGGTTCTGTAAGTTGTCCATCTATTCTGACTTCCATTTTGTTGTTTATGTAAATGTTTTCGATAGTTTTTATAATATTTAGGGGAACTTCTTTATTATACAGTTATTGAGTCTTACTCCATCAAACACTTTCTTTAGGTCAATCAGACACAGAAATGCTTTATCCTCTGATTTATTAGCACTTGTAAAATTTTAGTTCTAAGTTTAATCTCCTTTTTTAAATAGTAGAATTAGTTCGCTTGTTCTCCATTCTTCCTTTATTTTATTCTGTTTTAATAATTTTAATAATTATTGTTATTAAAATTGTTCTATCATTGCTGCTCCACAATATTTCAGTAATTCGTTTGGTATCCCACCTTTACCTGCTGCTTTTATGTTCTTTAGGTTTTCAAGTATTTTCCGAACATCCTGTATATTTATATTAAGTTCTTCATATGTGGTAATTTCTAGTGTTGCTGGTTCTAGCGTCGTTTGTTCTTGTGTTCTGTTCTGTTGCATAGAGCTTTTTAGGTAGTCAATCCACTTATCCTTTTCTATGATTTTGGTTCTATTAGTTCCTTTACCTCCGTTTTTTTAACATCTTATAAAGCGCCATATTTCCTTTTGCAGACCGTAAAAATAATGTTCTATTACTTTCGAAAAGCGTTCTCAGTGATCATTTTTTTGTGTATTTCTGTATTTAATGAAGACGAAAGTAGTAATATGTTTGAACGATTTTGAACAAATATGTCATCGAATATGAAAAAGTGTATATTAGTTCTCTTATTGACCAGAGGTACCAGAGAAAAAAAACCTGCGAAGTCCAGTAGAAATGATGCCCTAATATAACTTTAAAAAGGGTTAAAAAACTATGAGTCTATAAAAAAATATTCTTTTTCTCTAGTTTAAGGAATGGATAAATTTTAAGATGTACCAAAATTGACTTCTTACTATTATCGGCCATCTATATATAACATTTAGAACCAGTGTTTAAAGTGATAATAAAATAGTAATGAATCAGGTAAAGCAAAAAAAATAAAGCTGTATAGAGCTAGAAAATACCAATATCATATTTACATTGTCACAAAATTGGTAACTTTAACAGTGACTTGTATACTTGTCATCAACAGCGATGAAAGTTTCTACGATTATCTAAAGAAGATGAAAAAATATGCTTAGAAAATCAAGGAAATAAGTAAGCATTGTAGATGTAGGACGGAACAACCTTGGTGGGGTTGAAATATTGAAACATCTTTGCTTTTTATCGTTCTTATATGTCAACCATCCTACTTATGTTGTATGGGTAATCTTTACGGTTACGTTTACAAGAATCGTCTGAAAAAAATTACATAAGGGTATTATAGGTTTGTATCAAGTAGTTTTCGATCCGTATTGTTGTTTTATAAAGTTTGCACTTTGTTGCTCTTGACATATTTCTCGATAAAAAAAATTCAGATGAGTGCCTAGGCTAAAATAATAGTGGTTGGCCACGTATATTCTTTTCTTCATTTCTTTGGATGTATCGTTTTTGCAGTCTTTCATTGATCCTAAGTAACAGAAATTTTCCACCGTTTTTATAGTTTCCTGTTGCACCTCTAAGTTATTTTGGTGAATTTAGGTTTTTTAGTTGTTTAAAGATATCTATTTATAATCTATACGATAACTAGTTCTATACTATTCTCAGTTCTTGAGGAAGTCTAATAGATACTGACTTATATATATTATATATATATATATATATATATATATATATATATTTATATATATATATATATATTATATATATAATATATATATATAAAGCGAGTCTTCTACAACTGGCGCCGCTTCTCGCATCCTAATTTCCAGCGTTTTCTGTAGAAGCAATCTTCAGTTGTTAGATCTCTGGCGGTCATTGCATCGTCGACATTGTCTTTCCAGGATCGTCTTGGTCTACCTCGTTTTCTTCTAGTTGGCGGAGTCCATTCTTCTATTTTTTTTTGCCATCTATTTTCCGTCATTCTCTGAAGGTGTCCATACCAGTTAAGTCTTTTGGCTTCGATTGTGTCTATTATGTCTAGATTGATTTCCATTTCTCTCCGAATATCTTCGTTTCTTACCCTATCAAGTCTAGTGAGCTGGCAACATCGTCTCCAGTAGTTCATTTCCATGGCCTTAATTTTTGATTTGTTTCTTTGGTTTATTTCCCAGAGTTCGGTGCCGTACAGTCCAATACTTTCTATTATTGTTTTATAAATTCTTCTTTTATTTTCTTTTATTTTTTTATTCCATAATAGTCCGTGTAGCTGTCTGGTGGCTGATCTTGCTTGGCCAATCGTGGAATGTATTTCTTCGCTACTTCCTGCTTTTGATGTTATTTGGACTCCCAAGTACTTAAAATTGTCTGTTGGTTTTATAGTTCCCATTTCGATTTGTAGGCTTTCTGGTTTTTCTTCTACAACTAAGTACTCAGTTTTTTGTATATTAATTATTGTGAGGCCCCATTTGGTGTACTCATCTTCCAGTTTTCTAAGCATGTAGCTTATATCACTCTCGTCTTCAGCTAGAATGGCTTGGTCGTCAGCGAAATGTATCGTGTACAATCTATCATCTCCGATTGGGATGCCCATATTGCAGCACTTTCTTCTCCACATTGAGAGTGCCTCATTTAGATATATTTTGAAGAGTGTAGGTGCTATGCAGCAGCCTTGCTTTAGGCCCTTACTAATAGGAATTTCTCTAGTTAATCTATTTCCAGTTTTAATGTTTGCCGTCATATTTTTGTAGAGCTGTTGTACTGCTTGTATATATTTTTTGCTTATTCCTTGTTTTTCCATTGCTACCCAAAGCATTGAAAGTGGTACACTATCGTATTCCTTTGTCAGATCTATAAAGACTATATGAGTTGAAAGGTTGTGGGCTAATCTTTTCTCGATAACTTGCTTTAGAGAGAATATACTGTCCATGCAGGATCTGCCTGCACGAAAGCCATTCTGTTCTTCTACATCTGTCATCTCTTTTTCAATTTTATTTTTTATTATTTTTTCATACAGTCTTGAGAGTGAATTTATGACACTTAGCCCCCTATAGTTTGAACAATTCTTTCTATCTCCTTTTTTGTATATGTTGTTAATATGTGCTTTTGTCCACTCCGGTGGTCGTGTCCATTATAGAATAAGGTGAAGACATACGCCAGTAATTCCCGTAATACTTGTGGGCTATGTTTTAATAATTCATTTGGTATACCTTGTGGTCCGCATGACTTCCCATTTTTTAGAATTCGTATTGCATTCTCGACTTCCTGTACTGTTATTTCATCGTCTTCACTGAATTCCAGTTAATATGTTGTTGTACTGATGTTCGTGAATTGAGGTCTTGTTTCAGTCAAAAGTTGTGAGTAGTGTTCGATCCAAGATTTTTCTTCTATTAAATCTATTCTACTCGTTTCTTTTCTGTTTGTTCTCAGATTTTTTACCGTTTTCCATGCTTCCCTTGATCTTGTTGACCCTATATATTTGTTGAGTTCTTCGCATTTACTTTCCCAGGAAATATTTTTTGCTTTAGTTACTAAGTTTTTTACTTCTCTGTTTGATCTTGTATATGTTCGTCTATCATCTGGATCATTTGTTTGCAGCCAATTTTGATATGCTTGTTTCTTGTTGTGTACTGCATTGGCGATATCATTTGTCCACCACAACGGAGTATTCTTTTTGTTCTTTTGGATTGTGCCGTGCGCTTCGTAAGCTGCTTCATTGATTTTATTGATTATCTCTTTATAGGTATTCTGGGCTGAGGAGTAGATCAGGTTTGCCAATTTTTGGCTAAGTCGCAGCTTATATAAGTGTTACGATAATTATGGCGTTTATAACTATCAATATATTATGACTAATTCTGTTTTCTGTTCCAGTAAATTCGAAGTTGTTTACAGAAACCTTTAGACCCTAATTTTATGAGTAATCCACGTCTCGAGGCTTTTCGAACAGTTGAAAAACGAGTCGAGCGCCTTCACCAAAATACGAGATTATTCAAGAAGTTCGCCGAATTTTCGAGATGACAACAGTTGTGTATATAAAGAAAGATTTTTTATTTGGAGTCAGTCATAAGAAGATCGGGAAACGCGATTTACTTGTAACGAAACGTAACAAATAAATTTGTATTTAATAAGCTATTTAATAAATTAGTAATTAGTTATCGTGAGTTTTAATAAATTGGAATATAGACAATAAATTAGAATAAAGACAAATAAATTAGAACAATATAAATATACAACAGTGGTGTCAGAAGTGGGATTTTAGATAAATTTAATTTGAATTTTTGAAAAGAAGTGAAATTGGTGAACAATGGCTACGATTTACGAGCTCACAGTTACGAATCTAAGAAGGCATCTTGAAGACAGAGAATTAGCTTCTACCGGAAAAAAGACTGAGTTAGTCCAACGACTAAAGAAGGCTTTGGAGAAAGAAGGTTTGAATCCGGAAACTTATATATTTGAAGATGCTGTCATCGCGTCAATTTCGAAATTAGAGAATAAAGTTTCTGGTGACATCGCATCATTAGAGAACAAAGTCTCCGGCAACATAGCTTCCTTAGAAGACAAAGTTTCTAACGAGATTTCTTCCCTAGAAAGCAAAGTTTCTGCTAGCATCTCCTTGGAAATCTCTAAAGTTACTTCTAAGATGTCTGCCCTCGACGATAGAGTATCGTCGTTAAAGAACCAAGTTGCTGCCGATATGTTGGCCTTCGAAGAGAAGATAAAAGAGATGGAAAGGAAGATGGAGGAAACAACGACCGCCGAGAGAGAAAACAATCCAATTATAGCAGAGACAAAAGGAGACGAGACGAAATGTAAGTTGGAAACACGGCCGAAATTTGAAGGAAGTGGAAGTTCCGTTCATGTCAAAGTCCCAACTTTCGACGGAAAATCATCATGGAACAACTACATGAAACAGTTCGAATCAGCTGCAAGAGCGAATGGATGGTCTGAAAAAGAAAAGGCTGTAAACCTGACTATCACTCTTCGAGGATATGCCTTATACGAGATTATTCAAGAAGTTCGCCGAATTTTCGAGATGACAACAGTTGTGTATATAAAGAAAGATTTTTTATTTGGAGTCAGTCATAAGAAGATCGGGAAACGCGATTTACTTGTAACGAAACGTAACAAATAAATTTGTATTTAATAAGCTATTTAATAAATTAGTAATTAGTTATCGTGAGTTTTAATAAATTAGAATATAGACAATAAATTAGAATAAAGACAAATAAATTAGAACAATATAAATATATAACATAAGAATGATGTTGAGTCGTTTTGCAGTGCATCAATATTGTATTTAGGTAGATTCGATTCCAGGGGTTTTGATTGAGCTAGTTGGTTGTCATTTTGATGTAGTAGCCGAGGTCGATACTGTAGGTAACATTTTGATCTTACCATATAGTGGTCAGTTCCGCACTCCGGTCCTCTTAATACTCTTATGTCTTCAACTTGTATGTGTGTTTCTTGTTATGTGATGACATAATCTATAATTGACTTTGTGTTTCTCGTTGGTTGAACCCAGGTGTACTTATGTATGTACTTATGTTGGTAGAATCCGTTTAGGATTTTCAGAAAGTGCTGTTCACAGAATTCGATTAAGTGTTCCCCATTTTCATTTGTTTTAGCGTCACCATATTTTCCTACGACTTTGTCAATTATTTTTGTTCCTGTCCAAGCGTTAAAATCTCCCAACAACACAATTTCTTTGCGGCTATTTATATTTTCAATGAGTTCCGATAAAGTTTCGTAGAATATTTGTTTAGCTGCTTTTGATGCATTTTCTGACGGAGCATATACTCCAATGATCTCGAGGTCGTGCCCTTTCCACATAATAGATACTCTAATAATTCTCTCATTGATCTGATTCCAGCTTTTCAGGTTTCCTTTTAAGTCTTTTTTTATCAATATTGATACCCCTGCTTGTGCTCTTTTGTCTTTCTCTACTCCACTATAAATATGTATAAAACCTCCTATGTCTTCACTACCTTGGCCTTTTTTCTTTGTTTCGGTAAGAACCGTGATATCTGATTTTATTTTCTTTACTTCTGCCATGACTTCGTCTGACTTGGTTCTCCACCCTTGGATATTCCATGTATTTATATTCAAAGTCCTTGTTCGTTTGCTACGTCGTCTTCGTTTTTTCCCGTCCATATTCCGAGGCTGGATTTTAGAATTTTTTGCAGTAAGCAAAGTAGACACTGACTTTAAAATAAAAATAAACCTCATAAAATAACTTCCTTCTCGGTTAAGTGCTGTTTAAGTTCTAGTAAAAATTGAAGTTTCGGCCTTTTAGCACGTCTTTTATTCTACTTGCCATCTTCAAGACACTCCTGCAATCATCAAGATTGTAGTCCAAAAGATCTGAGCCTACTCTAAACCAGCAGCAAAATTGATGTTCTTTAGCAGCCAGCCACTTAGCTGATACTGACCTTAGAGAGATCAGTTTCTAAGAGCCAGTCCTATTGAGAGATGTTCTTCGCGGTTTTTAGATTTTTTGAAAAGCAACTGTAAAAATCTCCCACAATGTAGAATCCCTGCCACCTCTTTGCTAGTATCTAGTAAAAAACTAACTAAATAATAAACAACTTTCAAACGGGGGCTATAATGTATCAAAAACGGCAAGTCGCCTGTAAACAACATATCTACAAATTATATTAGACATTTGGCCCTAGAGCTAGGACTAGAACCAGGAAAAAATCCTTGAATGCCAAATAACTCCTGAACAATCTCTAAGATAGTAAATCCTTAACTGATCGAATTGAGCCTCACAAAGTTTATAGAGGGGCGCTTTGAAAGCAAGCAGATAACTGGACTCACACTAGTTGACCTAACGACCATCTACGATAGTGTGAGCCACAAAAATCTACTAGGTTAAATATAATAAAATACATTGAATAACTAAAAACTGATGTGAGCCGTCTCTAGTACAGAATAGGAGATTCTAAGTTATGCTACGTTGTGCAACACACATGCGCCAAAATTAAATTATTTGTTTTCCAATCGATACGATGGATAGGACAAAGGGGACCCCTAGAATAGCGATTTAACCTGATCTAATACCCTTGGAATTTTTCTGTGGAGCTATATTAGCATAAGAAAAATTAATATTAAAATTAAAAATCGACCACTTCCTGTAATGTGTTCACAAACAGTCTGTCTGTTATTAGGACTATCGCAGACTTTCGCCACTCTCTATATATAAAAAGAGAACAGCTGTTTAAAATATATTTATTACGCACAGAGTGGCATTAGATAGCGACAATCCCCCAATTCACCCTTTTTGAACTCGTTTTGGTAATAGGATTTCATCTATTCATCCCGTCATCCTGGCACGAAACACCAGTGCTAATCATTAACTAACAAATGGCATTAACAGAAATCCATACTGAATCAAAAATGCATTCAAAATTAAGGCATTTATAAAACATCTACAGAATATAAAATATATAATATTGTTTCGTTCCAGATATCTTTTTAAAATATGTTTACCCTAAAAATAATACAATAAGCTAATATTATATTTATCTTTAACATAAAAATTTATTCAACAATTCAACTTGATCTAAATAAAATATGTTGTATTCTATTTATTGTGCACGCATAATTAATATATAATAAATTACAACAATAAAATCAAATTACAATAATAAAAACAATCTTGCAGCACCCTTAGCTTTGGACGGTTAACCAATAAAAAATCAAATAAATATCTTTGTGGCGTTTAACCATGAGAATCCTATAACAATAAGGACTAACTTACACATATTTACTGTACGAAAATGTAAAACCGTTGGATCTTCAAAATTTGCTCATGTTAAATTTAATTTAATAATTCGATATGTAAAATATGCTTAGCAAATAAATGCAAGCTGTTTTAATATGCATATGTTTCAGCTAAACAAGCTGCCAACAAACGTTGAGATGAACCCAAGTAATTCACACAGACACGGTTCACACTCGGAACAATTAATTCATTCTGACGCTGGTGGTAAAAACCCCCGATTTCATTCTCTCCGCAGTATCTAAAACAGAGTCTCAAAAAGATCTCTCAAAAATCTATAAACTATGCTGTGGAGTTGTTACACTGTGAGACTTAAAATATTATTTGATTAAACTGTCTGGTTTGATGACCATTATCAAATCTCGAAAGTTACAATTCTGCGGACATATTATGCGAAATGAATTAAGATATGCTCTCCTTCAAGCCATCCTGCAAGGAAAAATATTTGGAAAGCGAGGTCCAGGAAGAAAAAGAACATCTTGGTTAAAGAACCTCCGAATCTGGTTTAATACAACATATGGGCAGCTTTTCTGCGCTGCTGCAGATAAGATAAAGATTGCCATGATAATTGCCAACATTCTGTCTGGTTTCTGGTCCTCTTTCCTCTTCTCAATCCTTTAGCCCTTGTCAGGGCGTAGTGACACCCTAAATATTGTTAGTCTGCTGACTCCATTGACTGCGATCTTGTGCCATATGGACGGCTTCATGTAGGGATTTTCCCACCAAACTCTTCATTTGGTCTACCCATCGTATTGGAGATCTTCCTCTTGGTCTTCGGCCTTCTACCTTTCCTTCTACTACTAATAGTTCCATGGTGCCCGTTCTTCTAGCTATGTGGCCGAGGTAAGTTAGGTATGCTTGGTTTACTTTTTTTAGTAGCCTGTCTTTTATATGAAGCTCTTCCAGAATTGACAGGTTGGTTCTATGTTCTGTCCAGGACACGCGTAGAATTCTTCTATATACCCACATTTCGAAGGCTTCGATCTTACTCCTATCGATTTTTTTGAGAGTCCATGTTTCAGCTGCATATGCAGCAATGGGAAAAATAAGAGCATTGACCAACCTGAGCTTAGTATTCCTTGTTATTGTTCGGTTTTTCCATATTTTAATTAATTTAGCAGTTGCGGTTCGGGCCATTCCTAGTCTACGTTTGATTTCTGAGGAACAATCACCATTGTTGGTTATCAGAGAGCCCAAGTATACAAATCTGTCGACTACTTCGAAAATCCCTATTTGGCGTATATGCGGTAGATTATTATTTGCTTTGTCTACAATCATTATTTTTGTTTTTCCGGTGTTGATTTGAAGTCCGAATTCTTCACTTATTCGGCTTAGCCGTTCGATGATGGTAATCATTTCGACTTCATTCGCTGCTAGTATAAGTGTGTCATCTGCGTATCGCAGGTATATTTTCATATTATACTCCATTATACTCCAGAGAGGATCCCATTTTACTGAATCAAAAGCCTTTGTGTAATCTACAAAACAGAGCAACATTGGTATGTTATGTTCTCTCGCTTTTTCTACTATCTGTCTGGTGTTGAGTATTTGCTCACGCGTTCCCTTTCCTGGTACAAATCCACATTGTTCTTCGGCTATCTCTGGAAGTAGAAAGTTCTTTAGCCGTTCATTGATTATATGTAGCAGGATTTTGCTTGCATGAGGGATAAGGGCAACGGTTCTGTAATTGCTGCATATGGTTAGTGATCCTTTTTTATGGATAGGGATCAAGGTTGATTCACACCACTCATCAGGCCATTCACCTGTGATCCATATCATGTTGCACATATCCAGCATTACATCTACGCCAATTTCGCCTATTTGGTCCTCTTTACATCTCTGCATATTTCTTAGCAAATTCAATGCCTTAATCAAAACTGTATATCGTCGGTGATGTGACACCTCCTATCTACACTTTTGCACCGAAATTACTTATTTGGAGCATTCTCTCTAAAATTTCATTGCGCATATCCCAGCAATATCTCCTATCTCAATAGTCAATAGTTACATTTTAAGTGTCCACGTGAACATAGTTCCTGTGATTCAACCTAGTGAATCTTTAAAACTAAACCATCTAAATAATTTTATTGTGTTTTATCTAATAATAATACTACTGGAAAATATGTAATTATGGAGCATATGGAGCAGAAAAACTGTCACACTCGAAGAAGGTGTATTTTAATAACAAATGGCAAATGGAAATTAAAACCATGACTGTAGGTAGAAATAATTATCCAAATGCAAACATATACATAGCTGGAGAAAATATCAAATAAGTTAAGCCCTTCAAATACTTGAGTTATCTATTAAAGGATAGTTAGGACAAAGTTAGTTATTAACAAACGCCAATAGACAAAAATGCATAGTTATGAAATAGTTCGCAATATTGCTAAGAGTAAGAATAACTTAATCCTGTCTGCGTAACATCTCACTTGACAGGACAGTGAAAATGGTTGAAAAGTAGAACGTTTTAAAAAGTATTTACATACTTAATCTGAAAAAAATACAGTGTAATTTCGGATAGTTTTAAACGCCAACACAGACATTTTGAAAATCGAACGGTTTTTTGCATACCTAGAAAAACTTTAATTACTACTTAGAATTTGTTTTTTTGGTTTTAAAGTCATCCTTTCTTTCACATCACATGGCCGGTTTCGTTTTCTAAGTGGCCTTTCAAGCACCTTTGGTTCTTCTTTACCATTCGTATCATGTCCATTAACCTCAACTGTTTTTTCTGCTTCTGCTTCTGTCTGACTGGAAGCTTCTGTTCTCTCGACTTCCTTCTTTTCTTCCTTTTTAATTGGTAAAGGTATTGGTATAGGAATAGGAATAGGTATTGGTAAAATAATAGGGTAAGGAACAATAAGAGTAGGAGGTGGCAGCAGTGATTCGAAAGGTTTTCGTAATATATTGGGAGGAGGTCCTTGAGTAGATTCTGTATCTGGATTTGGAGGTGATGGTATTCTGGGTTCTATTGGCAACTTAATTGGTTTAAATGGAGGAATTGTGTCTCGTTCGGAATCTTTATTTTCAAAATCTGTAGGAGTATGTCTAACCCTCAGATCCTGAGGCATATCGTCAGGAGGAGATTTTAAAAAGCTGTCGTTGGTATCAGTGTTAATAGTTCCAGTTATTGTGGCGGGAATTCTTTTTCTTGTTCTCTTTTGAGCCTTCATTCTATTTCGCTTACTTTCTGAATTTTCTATCAACTTAGATGTATGAGTTAAAACAATTGGGCTCGTTTGAGGAGACTTTTCAGGTGGTTTTGGAGATATTTCTGGTGAAGGACTTCGCATTTCGGGGGATTTGCAATTTTTTAACCATAAATCTGGGGTAATAAGAGTTCCACTCGTATTTTCTTCGATTCGTAAATGCGGATGAAGATCAAGGTGTGCTCTAGTTTCTCTGCAGAAGATATACATTTTATATTGGTTCAAGCATTTGTCAGAACAGAACTGCAGTTGCGATGCACCGTCCTAAAAACAGAAATCGTTGATTTAAAATTTCATAGAGACTTAACAAATTCATAGTTATTTTTTCAAAAAATGTTTTGCAATTAAATGTTTACACATCAATTATAAATTAATAGATAAACTCTTCTTGTAATTCCATGTCCTATTTGAGTTCACGTCGGTCCTCTGCATCTAGTGTTTTGTCTTCCTTTGAGTGTTTCATGTAGACCTGAAAATAGCAGACCTAAAGTTTGAAAATATGGACTGCATATCTTTATTTATTAGTCATAGTCTATACACGACTAAAATATTTACTCGCTATTACTTCCGTTTATACTGGAATCTGGAAACAACTTTGGTTATTTATCAATGAAATACTTTTTAAATTATGTGTAAAATTTTCGTTCTATATAATGTGTTATATATCTAAAATTTATATTTTTTTGGGTTAATCACTTGAAAATTTGTACATAATTAATTAGTATTAATATTTTTATAATAATTTATTTATTCAGATATGTATTTTATTTAGATTTTACATTATCTAAATAAAGGTTGACTATAAATAATACGCCATTATTTAAAGTTTTGAAACAGTTAATGGAAACAAAACAGAAATGGCTTTCACATATGGAACTACTTCTTCTTCGTGTGCCATATCAGAAATATACGACGTTGGCGATCACCATTGCGAAGGATTCTCGATCTTCTGCAATATGGAATAATTGTCCTGCATTTGGTATCTGAGTCCATTCATGAATGTTTTTTAACCAAGAAACTTGGTTTATTCCTACAACTCTACGGCCCTCTATGGAACTACTTACAATTTATTTATTGAAGAGGCTGGTGAATATATAATATTAAACTTGTGATGTAACTAGTTTATTCGCTACTTACATACATGGAATAGAGTATCGATGACATTACATATTTATTATGAATGTTTGCGTATCACATTTCCAAACACGACTGAACTGAATTATGAATAATGACTGAATAATCGACTGATGGTCTGTTTACGATTATATAACATCGAGCTTCGATTGGGCTGTAATGGGATAGTGCTGAGCAACATATAGCCTCTCTTTTTCAAATCTTAACCTCACCTGCTCGTATGATGATCTAGATTATGTTCATCTTGTGCATCCTGCTAGATAACCAACGAGTCTATGACGTCCGAGTGTTTGCCGAGATAAGCAATCTACCATTTACTGGCCAACGGCTTCGGTACGATGAGCTGGTAACTGGAAGGGCACTCTGTTGTCCTGAGATTGATAAATTGGTCTCGAAGGAAGAACCAAGAAAGTGGTGAACGGCATCAGAATGCAGAAGGCAACGAGAGACCACTGTATTAAAGATCCCTGATGACATATCTAGTACAGCTATTATGGAAAACACAACTAAAGTGGAAACAGCTACTAATCATGAAAGAGGGAAGCCAAAATTCGGTAGGGGTGGTGATCCTCAATGAAACCCCTGTGACAGATCTGGAAAAGTCCCTCTGAACACTTCAGAATTGATTATCAAAATATGTACCTCGAATGTGAAAACAATGTATCAAGCTGGAAAACTTCATAATACCATTCAAGAAATGACCAGACTTGGAGTAGGTATAATGGACATAAGCGAAATGAGGTGGCCAAATAGTGGTGCTTGTATTGTTGACAACCATACAAGCCACGGTAAGTGAATAATGGTATACCACTCGGCAAGTGATGACGGTCAACATATGTATGAGGTTGGGGTAATTGTATCTCCTCAATTACGGCAATATGTTACAAATGTTATACAAAATATACAAAATACTACTCCGTAGAGCAATTCTACGAGTTTTTGATAAATTCACTTCAACAAATTAAAAGAGAAGATTATTATGGGTGACGAATGCAAAAATTGGTAAAGGGAAAAGCGGTGAATTATTTGGTGGTTTTGGTGTAAGGAAGAACAATGAAAGGAGACAAAGATTAAAGCTATTTGTAGAGGAAGAAGAATTTGCAATACTAAATGCGTTCTTCAAACTACCACCAAGACGTTTGTATACTTGGGTCTCTCCGCCAGATCAACCAGGAAACGTAAGAAGAAATCAAGTTGATTACATAACAAGAGATTCTGTAATGGATACCTATCAGTTAAAACTACCCCGGTGCTGACGTATCGTCAGATAGTATTCCTGTTATTGGTATATTTAGGTATTTTCATTGTTACATTGTCCTGTAACTCTTCTTTGTCATGTTAGGAAACCTAAAAAATTGGTATATTCAGGTATACTAGGCCGGCGGTATAGACCGATCTCTCCGAAAACCGGCTGAAAAGATTATGAACCATGCTTTGAAAGTTTTTTTTTCGGGATTTAAGTATATATTCGAATATAATTGTCATGAAGAAAATATTGTTTAGGTACAAGGGAGCCTTTGTTTTTAATAAAGTTATTGATTCAAAAGTGATGATCAATGACAAGATGTTTTTTGGAAGGAAGACATTTTCTTACAAAATAATAAACCAAATTAATAATGCAAAAAAGATATTGTCTACTTAGAAGTAATTAAAGGGAACTTTGAAGGACAAACTGACAAAACTATTTACTAAAGTACCTACTTTGCAACTGAAAAGTATTATTTACATAACTCGTATTGAAGTAAGGATTCCAGTAATAATACTATATACAGAGTGTGTAAAGAGTATATTGGCATTGCTCTCAGCTTGCACAAAACTAAGACACCGAAAAATAACCTAAGTCACCAAGAAATACGTGCCATAAAATCGTTAAACGCAGACAAAGATGTTGCAATTTTATTAGGAGACAAGGGAAACGCCACCGTCGCATTGAAGACAACCGACTACAAAACGAAAATACAAAGTCTTCGTCCATACCAGAGGATACAAAGCCAAGAATATGCAACAACGAAGCAGTCCCACCACGCTTGTATGGCTTGCCGAAAATACACAAAGACGATGTACCTCTATGCCCTATTGTGAGCTCCATAGGGTCTCTGTCTTAGCTTTGCTAAATATCTCCTCTTTAGCCTTGCTAAATATCTAGCCGATAATCTACAACCACCCATAGGAAAAACGATGGTAAAAGACTCTGCCCATTTCATCGAGAAGATTAAAGAAATACCTTTACAGGAACCTGACATTCTTGTTAGCTTTGATGTTGTTTTGCTATTTACAAGAATTCCGCTAGAAGACGTTTTGAATTTAATTGAGGGACTAGTCTCCAAGGATATGGTGGAATTATACCGTATTTGCCTCACTACCACCTACATTTCATGGGAAGACCAGATTTATGAACAGGTAGATGGATTAGCAAAGGGAAGCCCACTAAGTCCGGTCGTAGCCAACCTTTTCATGGAGCATCTAGAAAAGTTGATAATGGAGTCAGCATATAAGCCAAGGGTATGGTTTAGGTACGTCGATGACACTTTTGTGATTTGGGGTCACGGAGTAGAAAAACTTCATGTCTTATATAAACACACTACATCCAAATATTCAATTTACGATGGAAGCAAAGAAAGATCAACAACTAGCATTCCTAGATGTATTGGTAAATCGAAAAGAAGGCTATTTAGGACATAAAGTGTATCGAAAACCTAAACACACGGACAGATACCTAAACAGGAACTCAAATCATCATCCAGGCCAAAAACAAGGTATCATCAAAACTCTGGCGGAGAGGGCGAAGAGAATTTGTGAACCACAGCATCTGCAAAGTCAACTTCGTTATATTAAAAAGCGCTCACCTCTAATGGTTATACCAGAAGAGAAACACATAAAGCAATTAACAACGTTTCTAGAAGAAAGGACGAAGAAACAGCATGTATAAGTTAAGCGTTCTTGCCCTATATATCGGGGGTAACAGATAGAATTGGGCGAATACTTAAAAAAGCCAATGTAAAGACCATTTTCAAGTTTACAAAGAAAATCAAGGACTGTCTAAGATCAGTGAAGGAGAAACGCGACCCATTAGCAACGGCCGAAGTATACCGAATACCATGCACATGTGGAATGGTATATATGGGAACCACGAAAAGACAAACAAACACAAGGATAAACGAACATAAAAGCCATTGTCGTTTAGGACATACCAACAAATCTGCCGTTGCCGAACACACTTTGGGAAGCGGAGAACATCGGATACTCTTTGAAGAATGAAGAAACGCAGATGCTGAATAAAACATCACAGTACTACCCACGATTATATCGGTAAGCGGTAGAAATATATAAGCATCCAAATAATTCTAATCGTATAGAAAAAGGACTAAAAATTAACAAAACATGGATACCAATATTGAAATCCACAAACACCCTTTCCGAAAAAACACGAAAAAAGAAAAGCAACGAACAACGACACGCCCCCTCACGCCGAAACATATAAAAATCCGTAGTACAACGCGGCTTCAGTTTCAGCTTACAATCGAAGCAGTAAGATCTTCAGAAGATGCCAACCCCTAGTGTTGGCGAAACATCAGGAACTACTCTCAGAAGACAACGGCCTAACAGCCCGAAAAAACAGTTTAACAAGTTATACGTTGGCCGTGAAAGCCTAACACAAAGCTTATCTTGTTTCGTATCCTTCTCTGAAACCGAATCGTTTGTTTCCCATTGTTTCTTTCACATTATTTCTGCTTAATTCTATTAAGAATTATTTTGAGAAGCAATTTGAGAGACTTATAAGACTAATTAGTCTAAATTCTTTATATTATGATGTATGTGTTTTTTTTGGGAGTGGGATAAATGTAGACTCCAACCATATTTGTGGCATTATTCCAGTTTCGTATATGTAGTTATAAATGTAACAATAAAACACTGAAAACTTTGTTTTCAAACTTCCACAAAATTTATTTTAAATCTTATCACTACAGCTGTTTCGGCTGATACCCTTTATCAAGTGATCTATGTTTGGCTTGGATTTACAAATTATAGTCTCTAATGAAATAGGTTGAGGAGGGGAGAACTGTTTGTCTCAAGTTGGTCATTCAGAATTATATCTGTATTTTTTAATTTGTTGATTTCCATAGATTCTAACAAAGATAGCTTAAGGCCTTTATTTTGATTGTGAAGAATTTTTAATTTGTCATTAAAAGAATGTTTATGATCTAGAAGGTGAAGTGCGTATGTCGAATCTGTTTTTCTATTCTTGAAAGCCCTTTTATGTTCTGCTATTCGTTTATCAAAGTTTCTACCAGTTTGACCGATGTAAGTTTTTGGGCAGTCGCCACATTGAAGTTTGTACACACCACTATTTAAATGTTTTTTATTTTGGCTCTTGTTATTTTTAATATATTTACCTAGGTTGTTATTTGTTCGGAAAGCTGGTGTTATTCCTTTCTTTTTTATGTGTTTGGCAATTATTGTTGTTATTTTGCCTGTATATGTAATCGAGCAAAAGGTACTGGGTTTTTTCTCTGGTGGTGTAAATACTAATTTCAGGGTTTTCTTGTGTAGTTTTTGATTTAACATTTTATTAATTGTTTGTTCGTTGTATCCGTTGTTTACTGCTATTTGCTTAATTATATTTAATTCTGTCTTAAAGTTGTCTTTTGACATCGAAATTTCTGTTAATCTATGTATATGCATACTATGATAAGCTGCCAGTTTATGTTGTGTTGGATGGGATGATGAATTGTGTATAGTCGTGTCAGTATGGGTAGGTTTGTGAAATATAGAGAAGTCATGTTTGTTTTGAAGTCTGTTAATTTTTAAATCTAAAAAATTTATGCATTGATTTTGTTCTGTTTCTATTGTAAATTCAATATGACTATGAAGTGAATTATTATACGATAAAAATTAGTCGAGTTGCCTGTTAGTTCCTGTGAAACATACCAGTACGTCGTGTACGTATCTCCACCAATATAAAAACTGTTTGAATACGGGATGTTTTGAAATCTTTGTCTCTAGATGATCCATAAAAATATCTGATAGCAATGGGCTTAGAGGATTACCCATTATAAGTCCTGCACTGTTATTTGTATATATTTTATTATTAAATTCAAAGTAGTCCTGGTTTATGCAAACTTCAAGAAGAAGTAGGATTTCAGATATAATTATTGGATTTGTACTATTTTGGTGTAAAAGGTTTTTTACTAAAATAAAAGTTTCTGTAGGAGGGATACTAGGAAAAAGATTTTTTACGTCAAATGAAATTAATCTGGAGTTGTTAGGTAATTAAAAATGTTGTATTTTATTAACTAGTTCTATTTTGTTTTTTATGGTAAATTTAGGTGAAAATTTAGTGTGTTCTAAAATAATCTCTAACAGTTTTTTTGAAAGTTTATATGACGGAGCTGTATAAAAAGAAACTACAGGTCTTATTGGGTGATCCGGTTTGTATAGTTTAATGAAAGAGTATAATTTAGGAGGCTGTGGGTTCATGATATTGAGGTATTTCTGTTCTATTGGATTCTAACGCTAGCTTAATTTGTTTTTGATATTTTTCTGTCGGATCTTTGTGTAAAGTTTCAATATTTTGATTATTTAAGAATTCTATTGTTTTGTTATTATATTCTATTTTATCTATAGCAATAGTAGTGTTACCTTTGTCTGCTTTTGTAAACACAATGTTGTTTTCTATTGATTTATTTTTAATGAAAATTGCTGTTTTATTCTTTTTGTAACATGAATTCTTAGTTTCATTACACACATCTGTAATAGATTTGGCAATTATAATGTTTTCGATATTGTTAGCAGTGTTGTTTAACGCTACTTCACATTCTACACCTAAATACTCTAAAGTTCTCTCATTATTATGTTGGGGCAAGTTGTATTTAAATCCTTTTTCTAAAAGTTGTATCTCACTGTTACTAAATTTAGCATCTGTTAAATTTATAAATCTATTGAAAAAAGTATGGTTCGAAAAACTTTTTGTATAATGAATCACAGATAATATTTCACAGGAACTAACAGGGAACTCGACCAATTTTTATCGTATAATAATTCACTTCATAGTGATATTGAATTTACAATAGAAACAGAACAAAATCAATGCATAAATTTTTTAGATTTAAAAATTAGCAGACTTCAAAACAAACATGACTTCTCCATATTTCACAAACCTACCCATACTGACACGACTATACACAATTCATCATCCCATCCAACACAACATAAACTGGCAGCTTATCATAGTATGTTACATAGATTAACAGATTTCGATGTCAAAAGACAACTTTAAGACAGAATTAAATATAATTAAGCAAATAGCAGTAAACAACGGATACAACAAACAAACAATTAATAAAATGTTAAATCAAAAACTACACAAGAAAGCCCTAAAATTAGTGAAATTAGTATTTACACCACCAGAGAAAAAATCCAGTACCTTTTGCTCGATTACATATACAGGCAAAATAACAACAAAAATTGCCAAACACATAAAAAAGAAAGGAATAACACCAGCTTTTCGAACAAATAACAACCTAGGTAAATATATTAAAAATAACAAGAGCCAAAATAAAAAACACTTAAATAGTGGTGTCTACAAACTTCAATTTGGCGACTGCCCAAAAACTTACATCGGTCAAACTGGTAGAAACTTTGATAAACGAATAGCAGAACATAAAAGGGCTTTCAAGAATAGAAAAACAGATTCGACATACGCACTTCACCTTCTAGATCATAATCATTCTTTTAATGACAATTTTAAAATTCTTCACATTCAAAATAAAGGCCTTAAGCTATCTTTAATTAGAGACTATAAATTTATAATCCCAAGCCAAAAATAGATCACTTGAGAAAGGCTATCAGCCGAAACAGCTGTAGTGATAAGATTTAAAATAAATTTTGTGGAAGTTTGAAAACAAAGTTTTCAGTGTTTTATTGTTACATAAAATGAATTTCCATCAAGTAACGGTCGAATCCATCAAGTAGTTATAAATGTTTATTAGTTCTGAGACATTGTCGTCATCCAGAAATTTGAGCAAATATTCGGTGAGAGCCTGGAGATTTCCTATTTTTACTTTCTTTGATGGCTTTCTCTACTTCCGCTTTTAAAATAATAGGACCAGTATTCGTATACTTTGCGATATTAGGTGGTATCAAGGAAGAGCTCCTTTATTTAATTAGTCCATTGTTCCTTATTTTCATTTAAGTCGAGAATTATTTTACCTTTAGAGTTTCTTATGCAGTGAGGAGTTTTTTTCTCTGAGTCTGGGCAATTTCTTTAAGTTTTTTGTGTATGTTAAACTAGTCATGTTTTCTTTGTAGTTCTTTCATTTCACGATATCTTTGTTCCCTCTAGGACATTTTGGCTCGCTTAACTTCATATCTTATTTTTGTCGATATATTTCTCTATATCCAGTTTTATCTTTAATTTTCCACGTGCTCCTTTATCGAATAAATTCTAGTATTTTATCGTTCATCAAATCCTTTTTATTTATTGGTTCTTTTTCTGGTTTTAAAACTTCGTTTGCTATGTTGACCATGGCGGAATGAAAAAGAAGAAAAAAGAAAAAAAATGAAAATGAATACATTAGTTGAAGTTTAAATGAGTCAACGCAAAATTACTTAGAGCACATTCAACAGCGAAACAATAGTCAGCAATAAGAAAAAAATCTGGGTTTAAATTTTCTTGCAGAAATAGAAGAGAAAAGGCAAAGAGAACATTATGGAATAGGTTTAGATAAAACCTGTAAATGGAATTAACATTGGTGTAACAATAAGAAAGAAAATTATTGTTATCTAATTATACAATATATTTAGAATAAATAGTATAAAAGTAAATTACCTGAAAATCTACGTAAGATATAGTATGTCTAACGTGTCGGCACCAATCACAAGTCTTGTTCTTCTTAAAGTTAGCTCTCCTGGATTGTGAAAAGCAGAGTTCTGAACAGAATACTGATGCACCAGAAGAAATGGCAGTATTATCATCAATGGATTTACCACACCAACCGCATCCATCTACAAATAAATTATAAACATTTATTATGCTATAATACTGTATTTAAATAAAGCAGACATTAGATCAAAACACTGTTTAAATTTTTTTCGTAAATACGAATATCTCAAATCGTCAGAGACGAAAATACCACCTCTAAAAATTATACGAACAAGCTGAATTTTGCTGAAAATGTCCATTTTGGGACCCCAAACAAGATGCAAGAAAACTTTACCACTTTTACCCCCGGATTCTTCCTAAAACGCCCCCTCATAGAGGGGAAAACGGAAAATATTGGTTTATTAAAAATCTGTAGGCCGTAGAAAAAAATATTTCCAATAAAAAATGTAACCGAGATAATTTAAAAACAAGAATGGTTATTAGCACTTTTGTGTAGAATGAACAGTTCTCTCAGAAACAATGCTTGAAGCGACCCGTGATTTTGAATGTCAGTTACGCGAGCGAAATCAATTTTAACCCGAAGATGCATACCATGGGTATTTTCGATCCAAAACGTTTTTTATATAATTTTTTAGATTAAGTTTTTCCAGTGATTTTGGATATAATTAGTCATTGCTTAATGTATCTTTCACTATACATATAAACACAAAATAAAATTTTTGTTAAAAGGTAAATGTCATATACGTAATAAATATTGTAAAATTGGTAATTTTTGCGTCTTTAACATAAAATGGATACTTTGAACCCACTCAAGTTATTTGCGTGCATATAAACAACAATTTACTGCATCGCTGCCACTCCCATACTTTCTGTTATCTATTCGGTCAGGCATTTTCGAATAATTTTGCCAGATGTTATTGTACGAACTAAGAACTCGTCTTTTATTTCAATGTGTTTCATAAATGAGTTACAGTTTTTTGGTCAGAAATAATCGGTAAGTTTACATTATGTGAACTACAGAAGGATGTCAGTATTTTATTTAAGTCGCGTTTTGATGACATGTTCTGTGTATCGTTGAGGTTATGTATGCATAGTTGTCATTTCTTTCAAATGTTCCCAACACACGGAAATTAAGTGGGCCATTTCACCCTGACAATTCGGGTTAATTAGCTCGCAAATGTTAGGGAGAGATAACCTAGCTCTTTAGTTACTTATATAAAGACATTTTTAATAGATAAATTTAATTTCAGCTATGTCAACGAGATATATAAGATAAGGAGATTGCTAACGTGGTTTATGGAATGAAAACCAACTAGAATCAGCTATAATTGCCGTAAGAAATGGTGACATAGGGATCCATGGTGCCGCAAGGAATTTTGAAGTACCAGCTCCAACATTAAGAAGAAGAATGAAAAGTAACAATTAAAAAAAATACATTAGGAATAAGTAGTGTTCTCGGCGAAGAAATTGGAAATAAAATAAAGAAACATATCACGCAGTTGTAAAAAGCTGGCTTTGCACCTACAAAACCTATAGTTAGCGAAATGGCTTTCAGATTAGCGGAATAATTAAATGTTAAAACTACCTTCAACAAGGAAAAAAACAAGTAGATTTGGACTTGAGTATAACAAAATCGCAAGGCGTATCCTTAGAAAGAAGAGAAATGTAGCATCAGTAACTTTTTCGCAGAGGGAGGAAATAATTACGTGTATCGCCTGTTGCAATGCTAAATTCTACTCTCTTTACCGAATCACACCACACAGTTTTTGCATTAGATCGTTCATTTTTTGTAAGTTGCTGGTCACATTATTACAATGCCTGCAATTAATTTGTTTAACTGAGTCCTACAAAGAAGATTGACTACTTGCAGTTTGGTAGATTAATAAATGGGGCTTGGGCAAAAGCTGCCTCAGTACAAAATGCTGTATCTGGTTTTCGCGCATGTGGTATTTATCCAGTCGACCGGAATGCAATATCAGAGTACTTTTCTTGAGAGTTCAATAACACAAATTAATGAAATAGATAATCTCTCACGTCTAAACCCACCGTCTATAAACAGTTCGACGCCGTCTCACACGTCACCATTAAAACTATCATCCATACCTGGTAATAAGGAAACGCGGTAGACAATTGGCTGCAGTCGATTTGGCGGTACGCAAAGATTTATATATTAAAGAGAAAGGAAAGGATGCTAAAAAGAATAAAGGTCTGGATCTGGAAAAAAAAAGTCAAGAAACCTAAGAACCCCAAGAAGATTTTACGTGAGTCATCTTCTTCCGAAGACTCTGATGATCATATGGAAATTACTAATGATGAATCTACTGAAAAGTTTAATGATGATCTACAAGATGAAGCAAATTGTGAATGTGCCTGCTGTGGGAAAATATATTCAACCACATCGAAACAAGAACACTGGGTACATTGCAATTCTTGGTTTCATGAAAACTGCTCAAAATATGTTAATTTATGTGATATACGCGGAAAAGTATTGGCAAACAAACGTGATAAATAAAGTTTATGATAGAGCCATGTCACCCTTATTGTCCGAGTCATCTCACTCTGGCACATCGGGTGAGTTGGCCTTTTACAACTATTTTTGTATTTTTATGTTTACTGTTTTTGTATGTAAGTATTTGACTTAACCAACTCTGTACACTTTCTTCTAAATGGTATTTTAATATAAATATATAAATGTTTCAGAGTGTAGGCTTTTTGTGCTAAGATTCAGATACACAAAAAAAATGTGAGCCATCTCTCCCGGACTTACCCTATATTATGCAATGTTTATATGGAATGAAAATACTTTTATTTCTGATTAAAACGATTTAAATATTTATTTACTGCAGATTTGGGCAACCTGTAGATTTCCAAAAATTGGAAAATTACGTTCATAAATGTATACCTAAAGGGAAACGATGGGATTTTTTCCACCATTCCCTTAGAGCACCAAAACCCTCGTGGTGACCTGTCTTGATTTGTTACAGGATTTAAGTGTTGGTTGCTGATTCGTTCTTTTTCCTCTTGTGGGGGTGAAATTATACACTTAAGCCCTTTTATTATCGGTTTATTGTACTTCCACAATCTTTTATACATACACTTTACAACTTAAACACTTATAACACTAAACTAACTTATATGCTCTTGTTGGCACTGGTGGGAGAGAGAGAGAGATAGAGAGATAGAGAGAGAGAGAGAGACGAGGAGACAGAACAACTTCTTCAGCGACTTGTTAACTTAAACTGACTTAAACTACTTTACTTAATTCGACTGACTTTATATGTGACTAGATTGGGCAAAGGGTGGAGGGGTGTATAAAATGATATTGTGTGAGAGGTGTCAAATACGCAGACGATTGTCTGGTTTTTTATTCGGACGCCGAACAGAGACGTCCTTAGGTTAAATTGGAACAGTTAAAGAATTAGTTGGTTTTCCAACATACCCCGTTTTTAAAATGCAATAAATAAAATTAACGGGAAGTATAGTGATAGTGAGAGACAACATCTATGCGAAATTTTAAAAACCGACCTACTGGTAATCCGATATTGATACCTATTATAACACAGACCCCCAGAGAGACATTTACAGAGTTGTACTAATCTGTTGAAAGTGTTGAATTTCGAATTATTAATTTGTGTACTTAAATATTATTACCAATTGATCAAAATACTGATTATTTTTAAAGTAAACTACCTCATGAACTACCATATGAATCCATACTGGACCAGCTAAATATAAAGAAAAGACTAAGAACACAAATATCAGAACAAATAATAAGCTATTTTGGACATATGCTTCGAAGAAATGGTCTTGAAAAACTTACCATCCAGGGAAAAGTAGAAGGCAAAAGAAATAGAGGTAGATTTCCCACACGATACACGGACCATATTGTTGCTACCATTGGCGCTCCATTGTCAGAATGTGCTAGAATGGCAGAAGATAGAAAAACGTGGAGGAACATTGGAAAAATTAGCTAATAGCTTCTTGATATCACGATATCATGATATCATGATATACCTACATCAGGTTAACGACTAAGAAGAAAAAACTGCCTCATAATATTTAGATAAATATTCTTTTTTTAAAATTAAGACTGGCAAAATAAAATATTTTTTCAGTTACGAAAATAAAATTTTTCTTTTGGTGGGTTTACAAGATTTTTTATTAACCGTGCTAAGTTCGTCAACGAACACTTAATATTAATATATTATATAGTGAGGTCCTAAAGCAACGGATAAATGTAATTTCTACGTAATTATAAAGTGATATAGTGAACTGATGAAAACTACTGAACCAGGTCGATTTTTACACACAAAAATATACGTATACAATATACAAATCATTAATATCTATCACCGTCCTAATATAATCGAATTAACAAAAACACCAATATATTTTTTAACTTAAAAGGTTTAGATGTCGTAGAAAATTCACTCTCATCAATTTTTCCCAATCGCGCCTAAAGAAGTATAACTTCAAAAATAGTTTTTATTTACTTACATGTCACATGCGATGCAACAAAAAGTTACCCATTGGTTTTTTTACTATTATAAATTAAATGGTATACTAGCTACTTCGGAAATTCACATTCATTTGGGATTTTCCAGTTAGAGTTAACAGTTATTCCAACTCATCGTCATTATCGTTCACTTCTCAGCCAAATTAATAACAATTTTTTTCATGGCTGGGATATTTTTCATGCAACCTTTTTCATTCTTTTTTACATGTTCTATTGCATTTAGCCAGTTTTGAGCACTGATATTTTTGAACTCTGTTTTTATTAGTTCGACAACACTTTGGGTATTTTTTGGAGATGTGTTGTTCCTCCGGACATGGTTTTTTACATGAGCCCATAGCAATTCTATGGGATTCAACACACAGTAATATGGAGGTAATCTTAAAACCATATGTCCATTGTTAGTGGCTAATTTATCTACAATATTTTCTTTAGTTACGACTTTTGTATGAAGAACTTGGATTAGTTGATCTTTGGTGTAATGATCCTTAAAATATAGGTCTTCGGCTATTAAAAATTCTTGAATTTCATCCTTCCTACTTTGTTTGGTTGGATTTTTTAAATGCATGTGAAGTGATATGATGCATTGTCCATAACAATCACGCTATT